CATGATGATAATGATACGAATGTGTGTTGTTGATTTCTCGTTGGTTCACCCTTTGCACCGTGCACATTGACATCTTGTGAATGTTGCACCTATGCTGCTGGTTGTTGCCACTTTCGTCAATGCTAGATCCTAGGCTCTCAGTGCATTTCACTTTCTGATATGCTACATTCCCCCTTGTTCGGTGACTAGGGTCACAAGGGTTAGACCGTTCTCCTTCTCTGGTCTGATCTCACCCCCTTCTTTGGATGTACAAATATGTTTGTTATAAGCAACCGGATGGTTGCCCCCCAGAATAGTTGGGGTCATTGTGTAGTCCTGCTTACTGGACCGAAATGGCTGATTGTGCCCTGTAGGCATTCTCTCCACAACTGTTTGGAATGTGTTGGGCGGGGAAAAGTGAGTACCGGGAGAAAGAGGCCCGTGCTGGTGGTTTTTCAGGGCCCGTCTTACCATTGGTGGTAGCTCACTTCCCTGCTCTCTAAGCAAAGCGCCCATGTAAACACGGGAGATGGTCCTCTCTTCTATACAGTAGCTGGTGAGCAGTGCAGTGCTCTCTACGTGAACCATGCATGCAAGCCCTGGAGACGGTGAGCAAAAGTGGAGGCCGGTGTCAGCTTTCAGGCCGGGCTAGTTTTAGAGCTCAGGACATATCAACTCCATTTACGAAGTTGGGAGTGGGTCTCCATGCTGCACCTTCGGTTACTGGGGTCACCCTTTACAGGTCTGCTTTTGTGCAATACACAAGTTCTGTGAACAGATGCAGAGTACAGAGCTGTTGCACAATGCGAATGCATTCAAGTGTGTATGCATGTGCAGCTGAGTGACATTGCAGATGCACCAATGTCATCTGTTTTGTGGTGTTGAATCTGGGTCAGTTGGTCAGTTGTGGCTCTGCAGTTTGTGACAGTTGATTTAGCATTCTCGAGGAATGTGGAAGTTGAAGCATCTGTTTTTCACTTTGATGTATGTGTGGGCAGTGACGGTGTGTTGTGTGTAGCTCAGGAATTGGTGGTTGTTATGTGTTTGTGCTGGTGGCGGTGGTGGTGCTGCTGATTGTGCTGGCTGTGGAATGGCTGCTTGCACAGATACTTCAAGGGACCGGAGCTTCTGGTGGACTTGCAAGACTATGACTACTCGTTGGACATGTGGAGCTTGGGCTGCATGTTTGCCGGCATGGTAAGCTTGTACTCTTTTTGTTTTTTGGTAAGCTCGTATTCTTGACTCGTCACTTCTTCTCGTTCGCACGAGTCCTTTGCTTCATGCAAGGCAGGACTGTTTTCACAATGGAAGTGAAAGCCAAGAGTGTTTCACGATGCCCGCTAAACATCAGTTTCCTTCAATGTGGCTTTCTTTTTGAGCTTAGCATGGGTCGAAATCACTGTGACGGGGAAATCGCGTGTAATGGGGAGCAGCTGGAGCTTCTAATGGCATCATTCCAGACCAGTTTCCCCGTGCACTGGGGACTCCTTTCTCGGCTAAGAAGGGAGTAGGAATCATATGTGGGATGCTGTTGTCTAAACCGCCAGTACATCTGATAAGCCTCTTTTCGCCATGGCAGATTTGCACTCTGTGCCAAGCGGCGCCTCACCACCACCAGAGGTGCACTTTTGTTTTGTTGGGCTGGTGGCGCCTGGCCTCTGAAATTTTGGAATGACTCATTTTTCAATTGGCAAGTTGCCTGGGGCGATGTACTGGCGGTTTAATGGGGTGTCGTATCGTTTAGGATATATGTATTCTGTACACATCTACAATGATGATGATCCGTCTGAGAATTTTGCTGGTTGCCTCATTGTTTTTGGTGCTGTGTTTGTTCAGATATTCCGAAAAGAACCGTTCTTCTATGGCCATGACAATTATGATCAGTTGGTGAAGATTGCCAAGGTAGGTATTTTGTTTCTCCCTGTTTGAAGATTTGGCTGCATATCCTTTTTATTTGTTTAGGCAAAATCATTTTTGGTTCACCAAACACTTCTATATTTTACTCCAAAATTGAATTCATCTCCAATTTTCCTTTTTTCTTGTTATCTTGTATTTGTTCCACCACTGAACATTGTAAAACACTCCCACGTTGTCTGTCGGTGGCTGATTCCTGCGTGGAAAACACCCCCCTTCAATCTGTTAGAGGAGCGTTTATGTAGGGGAAATGTGGGTCTGTAGTGGGCAGTCAATGGAGAATGATGGAGTTGTATGAAGGGCAGAGCAGTCCAGGCTACCCTACGCCATTCGAACCTTCCTGGAGGCCCGGTTCCCAAAGGTTTCTCCGTCCCACACTGTGAATAGAATCCCAATCACCCTGGCCACGATAAGAAACAAACCATCTGGCCATCGCTATCGATGCAATGAATGCCTATTTCCTCCCTTGTGGGATCCCCACCATTCATGCGATTGGTGGTTGTTTCTTCCTTCAATCCTTTGTACCTGGACTGTTCGTGAATGTGAATGGGGACACCTTCTCTTCCCCCAAGCTGGCATCACACCCTCTGCTGCCCTCAGAATATCTACAAGGGGAGTTTCAAACACTCGAAGAGAATACAGGTTGGACTGGTGTTTAGGCCCAGGAAACTGGTAGTGGTTCTGCTTATCCTTTCCACTGACCGAAGCTGAAGAAGACAAAAGTGCTGCCTGAAGCAAAGTTGGTGCTAGCTGGTGTGGGGCCAGCGTTCATGACTGGAAAGTCAGGCGGCGTGATCTGGAGGGCCTGACATTTGGGTGTCAGCGTCGTGGATGTGAAATTGCCAAGCAACATGCATTTCATGGTCATACTTTACCACTATCTCACTGCATAGTACTCTGCCAATATTATGAAATAAAAACAAGCCGCCACTGTTGCTGTCATTCTGTTTGCCCTTTGTTCCGAGTTGTGTAACTGCTGTCTTTTCAGAGCCATTCGTGCGGAGATCTTTGTTTCTGACATTTCTATCCCTGATATCTTCCTCCTTCCTTTCTCCCTAGTCCTTGTCCCCTCCCCCTCTCCTTGCGGGTTTATTCCTGTTCTCTTAAACCACCACCACCCCCCTTTTGCCGAGGCAGATTCCCCCAGCGTGCCAAGCTTTGCCAGAACGTCATCGCACTGTTTTTTTTTTTTTAATTCTCTTTTGGCTGGCGGTGCCACCCATTTTGGTCAGGTAGTACTGTTCATTCAAAATTTTCAGAATGACTAATTTTTGGCTCTTAAGTTTGCCTGTGCGGTGAACTTGGGGTTCGGGCTTGAATCCCCTCCTTTCATGATTGTTTCCATCCTTTACAACGAAGCGGAAGCGGTTTTGTTTTATTGGATGTTGTAGATGCGTCTGCACGACTCTGCTGTGTGTACTCCGGGACATCCGTTAAAATTGGAACGATACAGAGAAGATTAACATGGCCCCTGCACAAGGATGGCACACATAAATTGAGAAATGGTCCAATTAAAAAAAAAGAAAGAAAACAGAAAAAAAAGAAAAGAAAAAGATGTACCTGTTGCGATGAAGCAGGGCAAGCTGACAGTCAATCCTCCACGATGTTGGAGCAATCAATGCTGGTCAGGGGTCCTTCGGCCGGACGGAAGGAAGCGTGGGTGAGTACTTATGATGTATCCTGTTATTCTGACTTGCCGGTGGAATAGGAACCGGACTGATGCTCCCCAGAATGGAAATGGAGCCAGGACCATAAAGGCCTGTTTTTTATTTAAAAAAAAATAAATAAAAGATGCGCCTGCAGTGACCACTTCGGATGCTCCCTAGAATCGATAGGGAGCCCAGATCCATAAAAACCTGTTTCATTTAAAAGGAAAAAAAAAGAAGATGCGTCTGCAGTGAAGATAGGTGTCAGTGGGCTCCAGGTTTTGGCGTCAGACTTTCGGACCTCTTTCCCTGACGCGGTTTGTTATTGCAGATGGAGAAAACATGCTGAGTTGTCTAGGTTCCTGGTCTCTGGTAGTAACAATTTGAAATTGGCTGTTCTGGCATTTCTAGACATTGTCGTTCTAGTTACGTGTTGCTGCGAGAATATGTTTGAGTCCCTTGTCCTTGTTGTCATTAATGGTTAAGCTGTGGTCTAAACAATGCAGGTGCTTGGCACGGACGAGCTCAATGCGTACCTGAACAAGTACCGGATAGAGCTGGATCCACACCTTGAGGCCATGGTTGGCAGGTGAGTCCACATGAAGGCCTGCCTTGTGAACTGCTGATCTCCTGCAGACAGTGGACTTATCTCAGTCACACAGAGCAAATCAACCGCTGATCGTTGGATCCATACGTGTGGAACATGTGGCTTTGCAACAGGCATACATGTGGACAAACTTTTGTCTTGCAAGTGCCTCTAATCAGTGACGATGCTGCTTGGACTGTCAATGGGTCCCGGATGGACTGTCGAGGCTCTTATCTTCTGACAAGTCAACCAACACATGCCGTCTCTGTGTTGTGCTGTGTTGTGTTTAGGAAGCACGGCAACATGCACAGACATGATGACGGACAGCGGGGAAGATACAAAAAGAATGAGAAAGAATGATCAGACTATCACTAGTGATATGGAAGTGTCGTAAACGCTATGGGAAAAAGAAGGACAAGAAAAAATGTTTTGAAATTTGATAAATCTAAAAAGGGGGCTGGTCATGAATTCCGACCCCTTGTTCCTCCTCCTCTCCCCCTCCCCCCTCATCCGGCGCAGGACCACTTTTTGGTGACCACACAGGTTTGTCGATGCCTCATGATTGTAGGAGCGTGGTGGCGTTCCAATGAGTGGGATTGGTCTGATTTTGTTGACACTGTGGAGGTGTTCCATTCATGCTTTCATGCTTCATTGTAGAATCAAAACTTTGCAGATCACTTGAGAGGCAGGCCATCTATTTGGCGGACGGTTTGAGATTTTGATAGGGATATACTGACGATGAGGGAGGCAAACCAGCTATTTGAGGCAAACCATCAATTTGCTGGACTGTTGTGATGAGTCTGTTGGATGCTGTTTGCTGAATGCATAATTTTAGACGCTGGCCGATTGACAGTGAGAGCTAATGACGGAAAGGACTTCTGTTACCAATGTCTATGCCGTGTACAGGCATGTCAGGAAGGCGTGGTCAAAGTTCATCAACAGCGATAATCAGCATCTGGTATCACCTGAGGTGTGTAACATCATGTGCGATTCCGACAAGCCCACCCGTTTTCTCTTAAACCACAACTTGTGTGATTGCTGGATGCAGTGCTGATGTTGCTGGGCCTTTGCACAGTGTGTTGTAATGCCTGGTTGTCTGCCCTGTCTTGCTCAACTTTCAGTAGAAGGTGCACGCCACTGTGAATGGTATATGATGTTGCGACTGTGACTGTGAATGGGTTACAGCCTGGCCGTCTTTGTATTTTTCATGTTTTGAAAGTGGTGGAGCAAGGCCCTTGTTGTGTCATATGAGAACAGTGTGTTGGGGCAATGCAAAGGGGGGGTGTGAAATCTCAAAGAGTGTGTCATAGGTGCTTGATAGGTAGATTTATGAAAACGCTTGCACGATGCATTTTGAGGTTTGAGAGGATCCCGTATGGACCTGCCGTGCCCCGCCCCCAGTTTTCCCCTCTAACAGCCACTGGTACCCTCGTAGGAGTCGGAGTCCACTCTTTCGGCTACTTTCCTGCCCATTCACGGTTGAAACCGTGCATGCCACTCTCCATGCCCACGTCGCTGAATGATACATCTGCACACATGAAAGTTCCTCTTTGGCCATAGTTTTAGCGAGCCAGACTAGCTGAAAGGGATAGGTTCGTGATGCCATTGACTGGGGTGATCAGGTTGGGAGCGGAACGGTATGCAGAGAGCTGCCTGTGAAAGGGGTTTGCTGGTAATCTAGAAGGATGTTTGTGGGCTCTGTCAATGTTTTTCCTGGAAAGTKGGSGTGTGTGGGGGAGGGGGGGGGAGGAGGGGGGGGGGGAGGATGCGAAGAGGTGTGCAGTAATTGGAAATATGCTTGAGCACCACACCGGTTATGGGTTTAGGTTTTCTTGTGTCCAAGGGAATGCCTGCGCTTGGATTTCTCTACTTCGAAGTTGTGCGCCCACAGAGGTGGAGTTGGATGCATCCATGGAAGTTCTGTTGTGAGTAGACACCAGTCAGGGGGAAATGTGTGAGAGCCTTATCTTGAGTAGGAGAAAAGTGGCCGGAAGTTTTCTGAGCGGTGTACACACCCAAGAGTCGGAGATTGTCATGCATGCATCCATGTCTCTATGATGATACATATGAACAGTTTTTTGTTAAATGTTTGGTGTCTTTTTATTGACAGCTTCAAGGTGACGCTCTCCTGTTGTCTGTTGGCTATGGTGTTTCTCTGCACAGGCAATTGATTTTCTGGACAAGCTATTGCGGTACGATCACCAGGAGAGACTAACTGCAAAAGAAGCTATGGTGAGGATGCACACCTTCAATTTGGGTTATTCAGCTTGTTCTGTCCCAACCATGAATCTGGTCCCACTGGCAGGCCCACTACGCTATCTCTGTTCTAAGAAAGCATGATCCTTGCCGTCTTTAATGACCAGGTTCATGTCTTCTTTCGGAACAAACATGGCACCACAGGAACACGCAGGAGTGAGTGATGCACAGTCAAGTCTCTATTGAATAAATATGTTATAAATATATTATTGAGCTCCTCTGATGTCATTTGAACCATAAGGAAAGCTTGCAATTTAAAAAATGGTCCAGTTCTCGAAGGCGCAATTGAAAAACCTAAGATTTATCTGAATCTCAAACCCGACGATCATCATATGAAAATCTACTCTTCAAAGACACTTAAATGTACGGTATCATATATGACAGGCGTGATATCTTGGAGATGACAGGCGTGATATCATGGAGCCATTTACGGATTTTTTTTCTCAGATAGCTTTGCTTTTTTTGCTTGGGCATCTCGATCTCGATAAACAAGAGTTTCTTTTAAATTGTCCAACTCCTCGGCAGTTCAGGAACTCCTGGACCAGTAGGGCGTTCTCTGGGTCTGGAAGAAAGTTGCGGATTTGTTTCGTGGGAATATTGTTGGGCTTTTGTTGGAACCGGTGTGCAGATTTTGGAACGATCATTAGTGCCTTTCGGATGTTGCAGGCCAGTGCCATTGGGCCTCGCCACACCACGCTCGAAATGTGAAAAAGAGTTTAAAAGACAAAAATGTGGTGGGTGCATCTGGCCATATTGTAGCCGGAAGTTCATTTTCATTTTGCACATTTCAAGAGTGGTGTGGCGATGCCCATTTTCTTTTCAGGTTCTCATGGAGTTTTGCAGTGGGTTAGCTTTTGGGGTGCTGTCCTTTTTTTTTCTTTTTTTCTTTTTTAATTCATTGAATACTGGTTAGTCCGGTTGGACAATGGTCAGGAGGGCCTGTTCGGAGTTCCAGACGAGGGAGAAATCGATCACGGAGGCGTGCTCTGAAATGGGACCGGTATGGGTAAAATTTTGCACTTGTCAAATGGAGCCCCACCATGAGACAACTTATAAAGGGGGTTAAAAGCGGGCTTTAATCCCACCAGTACCCATCCTATCTACATGTTCTCAACTTCAGATCAGTATATTGCACATGTCAAACGGAACCCACCCACCCCGAAAGAAAGAAAAAAAAAAAAAAGAAAACACAAACAGCATGAGAGTTGTGTTAACATATGAAGGTGGTCAAAATACCCTACCGTTTTCACCCGAATAGAGCACCCGGTCAGTATAACTGTTTTTGGCTCAACTTTCGGTCGAGATGCAGCGATAATGACCGTTAACACTGCGCTTTAACTGGGCTTACACGGCTACCGGACGTCAATGGCTGTTGGTGACAGCCAAAAGAAAAAGAAAAAAAAAATGTCGAGGTGGAGGTTTGCCAAACCTTGGTGCGCTGGGTGTCCGGAGGTCCGGAAGAAACTGTCCTGGAAGTACAGGTAACTTAAATCGGTTGTCCCTTACCCACTTCCCTGGGCCCTTCCTCCCTTCCCCCCCCC